GTTGTGGTTGTTGTTGTTGTTGTTCACATATTATAGTAGTATCCTCCTTAGAAACAGCGTTGGCATTCGCAGTACTATTCGAGCATTATGAATATCATTCGCCTTCGCATCAGCGCTAGTAGCCGCGTAAACGGTATTCAGATTAGACTTCGTATGGGCCTTGGTATGAATATTCGCAACCACACTGTTATGAGCAGTAATATGCGTATGAGTATAAGTACCAGGATTAGTATTATATGGCACTGGCCTGGGTGGCAATACGAGTAGCTAGTATAAGTAATAAGTGAACGTACTTATTGGTGAGCAGCATCGTATGAGTGTGAGTAGTAGTATTCGTTTTAATATGAGCCGTAGCGTGCATATTAGCATGTGTACCAGAAGGAGAATTTGCGTGAGCACGGGTGGAGTAGCAAGATGAGTTTCTGTATGATTTCTACTATTTATTGTATTCGTATGAGTGTGAGTATTGATGGTCAACGTAGTAGGCGTGTGAGACTTCACATTAGTATGTGTACGAGTAACAGTATGACTACTAGAACCATGGTTTCTTATTGTTAGCTCTCGTGTTTGCAGTATCAGCGCGAGCATGACTGTTAGTAAAGGCTCTGGTGCTACAGCTTTGCAATCACAGATCTTGAAAGCCTAAATTTGAAAGCTCTTGATTTCAATTGTTTCCTGGTCAAGATTCAGTGGGCTGGAAAACATTGCTGTTGTTCCGACCCCCCAAAACTATTTCTTGAAGAGAATCCAGACCTCTCCTGAACTACCTGCTTCAACAATTCTTGGCTGTCTTCTGCTGGGCTGTTAGGACTTTAACTTTTTGGGTTTCCTACTATTTATAATAGGGAGGTTAAAAGTTCAACTTTTATGGAGTGTCGCAAAGACAGCTCAGAATTGACGACCGATTTATTTTCGCATAATCTCGAAGAGCCGATTTATATGGAGCTAAATCTCTTGGCCCTTGGCTCCTGGAATCCGAACTTCTAATGTCTGGCCCTAAAAGTAGAGGTTCTGGTGCTAAATCTTTCTTATTCAAACCCTTAAAGGTTTAGAGCTCAAAACCTTTCAGCTTTCAGGATTTCCTTGTCAAGCTGCAAAGGGTTCGAAACCGCAGACGACCTTTTCTAAGCTATTACAACCCTAACTTACGGCATTTGGTTGAATGTTTGTTCGGGATTCCGACACTTGGTGTTATTCCGACCCCCTGAAACCATAGCTAGTTCTGAACAATTTCCCCGATGCGTATTTTTCCTTTTGCAGTTCCGACTTCCTTGGGTTAAGGGGGGTCCGACACGATTGATTGGACCGTACTAGAATACAAGCGAGTGTGAAGGAGCTGCCAAAGATCCGTCTGGCAGCCACCTGGCTCGCAATATGTCGCGACGCAGAGCCTCAGAGCTGGTGTACTGTGGAAGCTCGCTAAATGAATTACCAAATGTTACTATTATCTTATTCGCTCGTAGAATGTCATAGAACATGCCCAGGGCCCAATTAAATTTGTTTTGGCTACGCTACGATGTGAAGTGCAGATTTTGGGGACCGAGGTGAGCCTTCATGCGCCCAACCAGAGACTCCGTGAGGAACTGGTGCCTGCTGCCAAGGCCTCATAAGAAGTGGCCAGTTTTCATGCAACGGGGCAGGTATGTGTCAATAGATTGAATAGATCGTGTGCTCTGCACAAGTGTCCTGGACTTGCGGATTAAGCACGCGCACATGGCAACCAATCCCAGTCATCTAGAGCGTTCCTGCAACGTTCTGGCGCCAGCCCTCACGTGGTACAAGTAGCATTGCCAAATCTTCGGTCATGAGCGGAGGCAATACCAATCGACAGACTTCTCCAGATTGTGGACAACCACGTCCAGCAGTCATCAGGAGCACCTTGTCCAAGCAAAAACAATTTATCCCAGAGCCAGTGGCATTGCAACAGATTTAGTTCTGATGAATCAAGGAAGGCCGAAGTTTTTGCTTTGTGTCAAGTATTTGTGGCTTTCTGCATGCCTTGTCATCTGGATCTTGGCTTGCTAAGGATGGCAAGCGGCAGCGCACCGTCATGATCTCTTACGTCTTGCTGAAGGCCTCTTAGCACTAGTCAGCTAGGAAACTGCCTTTGAAAAGCAGGCGGCGGCTGCCTGACGCGCTTGGGAGAAAGTGTTCTAGTCTAGTTCCCCACCAAGGGAGGCTAATCCTGGCTTGCAGACGGAGATCTGTGGAGGGCTTGGAATGTTGGGCACATCTTCAGTGCGGAAGCTTCGAAGCTAGTCCTTCAATAACAGCGTAGACTTTTAGCTGATGTCAGGTATGGAGAGTCAGAATGCTACTTGCAAAGCGCAGAAAAACATTGCCAGGATGTCTTGACCTTTGCTGCTGCAGGGCGTGAACGATTCGGCTGAACATGCTGCCGAGCTGGCAGAACTGCTGGTGGGACGCCCCGTCATTGAACCTCGGCTTGAGGATAGAAAGAAGAGCGCCGTTCTAAGACACATGCTGCATCCTTTGACCCAGGTGAATTTGATTCCATACAATGCATTCGAAGGTGGGAGCGCAGAAGACTGAAGCACCTGGTGCTTAGTAGGGAAAGAATGGATTCCAGAGGAGTCCATATGCAACCCATGAGAATCATGGTTAATGGTTATCTTCCAATAGCCAAGAAGCACTTGTTCATTCCCTGCTACGCACCAGCGGGAATTCTGTGCAGCTTTCGAGTGTGCGCTGGACTGCCACAGGCAATGCTTATGCCTATGAAGAGCCCTCCCCGCAGACGGTGGATGACTTCCTGAAGATCCTGGCCGACCACGACATCAGGACGGCTGTGCTATATTCTATGATACTTTACCGCGGCAAGTATATTAGTACATGGTGGGTCTTTCGATTTTGCTCCAGCGGTCAAATCCAACCGGAGCATCTCAAGTCTTTAACCTGACAAGTTGTGTGGAAGGGTCTTCGAGCGTCGGCACCACGGCCGCGACATCGCGGCTGCGTGCGGGCAGCTGGCAAAGCTTGAAGGCTGTGTAGGGAAACCCACTACCTGCCTTACTTGTAGCGTTCATGGCCAACAGTAGCTTGAAGGCCAGATTTTCGACATCAGAAGCAAGGCTTACATAGAGACAGCACAGACAGGGAAATAAATATGGACCCAACGCCGAATGAAAGAGAAAGAGATAGAAAGGCATGCATACATATATATATATATGCCATATGCATGCATGACATATTGTATGAAGCCCCGGCAGCTGAAATCTGAAGGTCGAAGTCCCAAAGTGTCGGACATCGAGAACGGCGGGTGCACATTGAACAAGGCCTCGCAACTGCATGGTAATGCGGCATAAGTAAACATACATTTGATGCCCACATTGGTTGCACGGGTGAACTCCTCCTTGCCCCATGAGCTTTCATGCCAATCAGCCAGTCAGCGCATTTGTACAGCACCCTGTCATCGAAGAAGGTCCTGATTACTATATGGGGATACATAATCACCCCCAGTATAGGAGTTATGAGTTAAGAAGGGACGGGCCCGCAAGTTGCGGCAGGTCTGCCAACCCTTTGATTGCGCGTGTTCTTCCTAGCTATGTTGCTGCATTATTCAACATCCGAATTTCTCAGGACATTGCGCGCGGACTGAAGAAGCCACAGGCAGATGCACAGCACCTCCGAAGGCGCATTGGGACTTGGGGGGACCCGAAAAGCCTTCCGGAGCAGTCAGTTTCTGCGGGGGACTTTCGCGTCAACAGCGAGGGTGCTGTGTAGCGTTGGAGTACCTCGGCGAAGGAAGTCTTCATGCAAGCTGCATGGACTTCGTAACATAAGCCGATTCTTGTGAGATGTCACCAGGACCCTCCTGGGCACTTGCCTCGGTCTAGCTGCGCTCATGACTCTGGCTGCGTGGCGCTTCCGCTCCCGGCGCTCGTGAATGCACAATGAGCACCCTGAAGCTAACTTCACTGAGCTCAGCAGTGCGTCTGGTGCGCAGAGGCCACAGGAGCCGTTCTGCCTTGCATCACCGCCGATGTACAGTGCTCAATGACGGAAAAAGGATGCCGATTCAGTATGTGCTCTGTGCGCCAGGGCGAACCGTGTCAGGATATCAATTTTAGGATGGACATGTCCCGCAGACATGCCATGATGTGAAGCATGACCTCAGCTTACAGCGTTTTATGTGGGGATTCAGACGCGAGATGACGCGAGTGTTGTCTCAGGAGATGCTGCGGCCGCGTATTCAGGAAAGGCCAGAGACTCTGAGTCTTGCAACAGCTCGGGGGCCAGTTGATACTTCTCCCAACCAGGGACGCGTGGCATAAGTTCTCTCTGTGCAAAGGCTGGCCGCCATGTCGCAGACGCAAGACGTTGCCGCCGGAGCACAACAGGCCAGATGTGGCTAAACCCATCATTAGCAGAAGGCTATTCACCATGGACTGTCAAAGGCAAATCCGCAATTTGGTAGATGAATGTCACTTCTCAAGACAGGGACCCTTTACATCCGCAACACAACATGGTGCGCAATATCCCAATTCCAAATAAAGTGCCCAGATTTTGTCCCAGACATGGCCAACTGAAGGAGCGAAGAACCTCGCGGCAGGGCATCCACCGGGCTCGGGCACTCGGAAAGACGAGTCGATTGCTTCGCTTATCTTCGCTTCGAATGCTTCGCCTTACACGGAGAAGAATGCTTTGTGCCTGCCAAGTGCCAAGGCCCCGCCTCCAGCGGTGACCTCAGTGCACTATGTTGGCAAATGCAGGAATGGAAACGACAATCCAAATGACAAACAGTCCCTTCCCGAAAATATTACATCCCCACTTAATTCTAAATGATACAGCCGCCTAAAAATATGGAAGAGCATTTTTGAAAGGGCAAGACGACATGAAAAGGGGCCACCTAGCAATTAATTTGATTAAGCTATTTAGTAATCTAAAGTGATTAGATATTCAGTGAGTAATGAATGATATGAACAAACCGAATTCAGTAATCATTGTTTTTCATGGAGTTCAAAGGATTTTAAAGGCAGCCCTATCTGCAACCCCCTAATATTCAGTGACTCTTCGGACCCCGGAATATTTTTTATATCACGATTACAAGTTCGGGTTTAGGGTTTAGGCGTCAGCGTGCCACATTGGAGCTTTGGCCAGGATACTCATCTTTTCTAAAGGGGGGAGAGGATGCCCTGTTACTGCAATATAGCCCCTTATAACATGACCTAGATTTCCTCCGTCACTCCCCCTTAAGATCCTGAAGCGCGAGTAAGATAGATTAGAGGAGGAACTTTGGGCACGTAAAGCCCGCAGTGTCATTGTAGCGGCTGCTCAGGAAACGAATGTGACGGAGTCCTCAGCCCTACGCGAGGCACTGGGTACAGGGGGCCTTTCAAGTTTGCTGGCGTTCAACAGCTCATTTCATTGCTGTGTCGATGCAGGCGGCCAATCCCCAAGGAGGTCGGGAAAGAGAAGCATTTTTCAAACTGGACTTGATAACTAACTTACAGCCCACGCCACAAGTGCTTTATGCATAGCGCAGCGGATCTCGTTTGAATCATGAAGGTGCCTTGCTGCAAGCCTTTGTCAGCAGAAGTCTGGCATTGGAGCTGTGTAAAGTCAAGTACCAATACCAGGTTTTCTAGCTCAAAAAAATTCTAGGCTGATGACGTTCAATTTGAAGCTCTCTGAGGTGAGGTTCGCATGTCTTTGACTTCAGACTTGACCGATGCGGATGGGCCAGCTCCACAGCTCCAAGCGGATTTTGAGATTTTTTGCGAATGCGAGCAGACTCAGTCCCATCGTTGAACCAGCTTCTGCCATCCTGAAACAGCAGCTATAGTCTGTAGGTGTGAGTATGAGACGATCATAGTTGGGCTTCTGCCGGGTCTAGCTGTTCCGATCAATTGTGTTGCGTGCTCCGCGCTTGCCTTGAGTACAGGTCCCGGTGAACCTGCTGCATGTCTATAATTATTTTTTCCAGTTATGCATCCCAAAGTTTTTATCTGACTGCTAGATTTCCCGAAGTTATCAAAGAAGCTTGCCCTGAGAGTACCCATTCTGAGGTCCATTCGCTTGCCCAGGAAGTTCCGGGCGCTGGCTTGGGGTCCCTGCACTCTGCCTTTCTGGCTTCAATTGCGTGCTCTTGCCATCTTCATGAATTGTCCAAATGAACGCGGCAGGTTCTTTGCTTGCTGGGTACGGTCCTGGCCCATCACTGCAGCTGCTTGCCTCGATTTGCAAACCCACTTTCAACTTGCTGGTGCTTAAGGGTAGTACCCATATTCTTATAGGGGATTGTCTCAGATGGGATGATTATAGGGATCCATTCCCCAACTCGCCCTTTCAGCACCAGTGAGTCCGCGACGGAAGCGTAAAAAGCAATAAGTTGGTCTGGCTTGCAGCAGCACTACGTCTAAGGCATTGCTGCCCTGCCTGCGGCCCTCACGCCTGGAGCGCGCGACAAAGCTGGCATATAGGCGCATGTTTACAGAGCCCACGCGCGTGATTCACTGAAATGGCAACCAGCAGCATGCCGAGTAAAGGACACCTTCATGGCTGAAACGCAGCAAGTACTCTGCCAGGCTGAATGCTGCACTGGCTTGCGCTGCAGGCACATGGGGTTTTTCAGAGCAATCAAGACCATTTTCATCTCCCTACATGGTCCTGAGATACCCCAGGCACCTCCTCAGCAAAATAGACAGGATCCAAGCGACAATCTCTTCGCAACAGCCGAATGCAGCCACATTACTGGTGCCAAAGGGGGAGTGGTGGATCGAATATCTGGACTGGTACAGGGGAAGGTTGGAATGCACTACTCCCGGAAAGAACATGGTGCACTTTCTACGACAAGATGGCTGTGCTCAGGCATTTGTGGCCTGCGAGACTGGGGCCATGGTCTCAATGAGGCTGATGGCTAAGCAAGGAATCCAGGTAGTTGCAGGGTTCGGCACGCCTGAAGTCCGTTTCCAGTCACTGACCCAACACGAAGCCTGCCTGGTCCGTGACCCCGCTCTCAGGAAGTGGCTGCTGAAACGCGCCCCGAGGATGAGATTTGGGGGGAGCTTGCGGAGGCTTCCACCTCAGAGTTTCCGGCAACGCGTGCCGCAGCTGCTGGCACGCCAGCTTATCTTCAAAATGAATCTGCTTATCCTGCGCAGGTCTTCACCTTTCACATGACGATTGCCTTTGGCTTTGGTAGCGCCCGGGCCCATACCATGTCAAGTTCGACCTGCTGTCTACGTGCCAGCTCGACTTGCAGCTGCCACTTGAATTAAGAGCAGTAAGAGCTCGGGCTGTATCAGCAATGATTACCTGGATCTCGGATGTCAAGCCTTTTTTGGGATAGACTCTACAGATAAATAAACAACAAACCCCTGAAGAGCAAGGACATCCAGGGTTCAGGTACACTGTGCACCACGGCCGTATACCACCGTCAGGTCCTCATCGCCTGGTTCTTGGTGGCCTTGCTTCCAGTGTTCCCGACCCCACCAGCGGCAAAGGCGCTAATGAAAAGCTAACATCATCTGCTGAGAAGACATGACAATCCCTGCAAGACCATGATGCACAGGACATGGAGGCATTTGGGGCAGCAGCCTTATCTGGCTTGTTGTTACTGTCGTGATCAATGAAGGAATGCACAAGAACATGGAAACTGTTGCACTCGGGGGGATCAGACAGTGGATACTATAGGATTACATTGCTCCATTCCTTGCTGAAACCACAAGAGTGATGAAAACAATATTGAGTAAGGATAGTAACTGAAGAATCAGTAGAATTACAAATCGGGATGCTCGTAGCAGCAATGGAAATTACAGTACCATCATACTGATCACAAAATATTTGAGGCCAGAAGCGCTTGGTGGCGGAGGGCGTGGTCCAAGCAGCACCAGACGGAGCAAGCAGATGGTTTTGTTTTGTCTGAGCTTGTCACCTCATATGCATGCATTCTGAAGCCTTACGAGTGCCCGGGGCGCAAGCTCCGTGCCAGCTCTCCTCCCTAACTCTCATAGCTTCCATTCACCAAGACGGTCTGCATCGCCACATTGACGCCCCCTGCTTCCCTGCACTCCATGCACATTGCTTGCATGTTTACTGGCAACACTCGTGCCCTCTTCTCGCATCTCAGTGAAGTCCCTGATCCCACGTGGGTTGTCATCTTTTGACCAGGAGGGTTTCGCCCTTTTTCTTGCCTTGGGTGCTGGTTGTCTAGCGCAGCTCACCTGCATTGGGCAGTTTCTGGGAGAGCCGAGTGGTAGCTGAGCAAAGCTTGAACAAGCACCCCGTGTCCTGAGGGCAATCTTGGCCTCGTGGCGGCCGCAGCCACGTTCACCAGCTCAGAGCATTGGACGTGAGGTGTGGTGCTCTGATCGCTCAAGCATATGTTGGCTTAAATATCTCAGGTGCAGCAATGGCACTGGCAGCTTTCATCTGGGCATTGCTTGCAGCTGCTCATCTGCACAAGCTCGATAGCTCTTGCAGAGGATGTGACAAATCTCAGCTCAGCAGCCCCTAAAGCATTGCGGGCTAAGGAGATGGTCCTAATGCCTGCGGCGCTTGTGGCTTAGCCTTGCATCCTCGTTTCCGTGGAAGAGCCTGCTGCACAATCTCCGAGGTGCAGCTTCATAGAAACGCTCACCATCTACTGCCCAAGCCCTGGTTCCGACTTATTGATGCTTGAGGGAGATTTTGATTAGAATTTCATATGATTCTGATACTACCTACACTGACACCAGCAATGCCGCGGCGTGTACCTCTACCTGTTGCCTTCAGGGTTTAGGGCATGGGATATACTAGACCCTACGCAGCCTATGCCCTTGAAGAAGCCAGGCGCAGCCCGAGGCTGCTGCTGCGGCCAAGCAACGCTCCTGGCGCGCTGCCCGGGGCTCCTCCGCTTCCCGCCCAAGGCTCTTCCGGGCCAAAACTCTCTTGAAGTTCTGTTGAGGAGCCCCATTGTAATACTTCCCGGGCATCCCTAGAGTCTTTGCTTGGCCCTCCAATTTTGAGAAATCACCATGTGCCTTTTGTCAGAAGCACTAGAGCTGAATTGCAAGGGCTCCTGGACCTCGCGGGAGCTGCTGCTGCGAAATGTTGAGGCTGGAATGCTGAACTGACTGCGGTTGCCGAGATGGGAGATGCTGAGTTTCGGGTCCGCACCTGTCCAGCTTTCATGCTTGACACCGCAGCATTAGCGAGTCATACCAACCGCCAAAGATTGGGCATCCCCACACCCCGATGCAAGAAGCCCAAGAACCTGCATCCCTCTTTGGCCCTGTCCGCCACCGGGCGCCCATGGCGGGCAACGACGGCACTACGCGATTCCTCCTGCTGCATTCAGTGCTGGCTGTTTGCGTCGCACTGCTCCTGACTGAGGCGGGGCCAAGTGAGCCCTTTCGTGTCTTTGCATTGAGAAACAGCATTCCGTCGAAAGCAAGATGTGAGGGTGTCCGCTGAAAGAACGAGAGTGATCACAGGTCATGTTGTTGGTTGAAGACCTGGCCCAGATGCATACTCCAGCATGATGGACGAGATCATGTGGTTTTGTGAACATTAGCCCCAAGATCAAACAGCAGGCGAACCAAATGCTGGTCCGCGATTTTCAAACAGCACATGAAGGCCAACCCACAAAAACACGTCGTCGCTCAAGTATCTACAACCGTCAGCGAAAACTTGGTAGCGGTGGACAGGCAGGAGACAACTTTGAGGCCCCCCTTGCCAAGCTGGTACAGAGTACTTGCAGCCAGCACGCTCCTTTTTGACCCCTAAGCATGCGCCACCTACGGGCATGCAAGCAGCAAGGCCGCAGATTTGTTGAGCTAGGCAGCAGAGCACCAGAAATTGTCATTATGGTTATGCTAGTAACGCTACGTAATCGTACCCTCACCATTACTATCATTTGCAGGTGACTGGTGCAGCCTTGTCGGTCGACTTCACTTTTCTTCATAGCGCATCTTGGCTTTTGAAATACTGCACTTAACATTGGCGAGTTAGGTTTGCAATAGCTGCGAAGTAGGCCGATATGGTTCATTGTCAGCTTCAGCATATTGAGCCAGACGCATCGCAAGCTTGAACAGTAAAGGATAAGATGTCTGCAGGTCCTGAGCTCCACGCCACCTTCTGCTTACTTGTTGCTGATCCTGGCGCTTCTTCCAGGGCGTTGGATGCTTGGCACCGTGCAGACCTTTCCCTTCCGAGCAAGCAGCTAGGGAACATCAAACGAAACTGTTGGAGACCCATTCTTGTAGCTGCAAGCAGTTTAGACACGATTTTTACTCTGTAGTGGCAGTGACGAATTTGAAAATGATTTCCGATCATGTAGGCACCCATGGTACTGAGTGGAACTGCCCAAGCCGCATTTTGAATCGCTTGTCATCTGGGTGCTCCCGAACTGAAGTTATCAACAAGTAGTTCCTGCAAACCCTGCACCACGCGCGTTTGACAGATTGGCCCTGCCCGGATCGGAGAACTGCAGGACACTGAGCATCTTGCGTGTGTCGGCACTGGTGGCAATGCTGCTTGTGGCGCCCTGGCATGCAAGGAGGCAGGAGTCAAGACTGTTCCTGATCAGCCATAAATCTGCGGAACCTGGCTCCGCAACACCTGTCCTAGGTGATCGCCCTCGTTTTGGATAGCACCGAGCAGCTGAACACCCGGTCGGCCGCAGCAGGCTGTCGCAGCGATGGCAGCGGCTATGCCCTGGTCAGAGTTGGGTCGAGTGATTCCCTGTTTCACGGGCACATTTGCTTCGAGTGAACTGAGATCTTACAGTACAACGCTGTCAGGTGACTGGTGCCTCCTCAGGCATCGGCCAGGCCGATCCTCGAGTTGGGAGTTGCATGTTCCAGTCTTTCATGAGTTTGCTCTCACCCAGCAATGGCTCAAATGCCACTTGGCGTGAGGACATTGCCAGGGAGCTGCTGACCTCAACCTCCTGCAACCTCGTTCTAGTTGCAAGACGTGGCTGGTCCTCATTGGTAAGTTATCCAAATTGCAGTCTCTTGGGTCCCTAGTATAGCATGGCCCCGACTGTAATATTCAGTGCACCACACGGGACCCTAAGTTTGACAACTCCCCATTTGGATGCAACAAAGCCACTCCACAACAGAAGGGGCCACAGCAGAATACTAGGTATGCGGGCATGGAAAAGAAAATGGAAGCTACAATCAAGTTGAGGGGGGTGGTTAATGGGAAATGGAAGCTACTCTTATATATGAGGTAGCTTAGAGTTGCGGATGCCAATCATTCCTTTCCCTTCCCCTAAGGCAAAGACCGCTTGCAGAGCTTTGCTGCAGAGCACAGCAGTGGCCTACGAGCCGTTGAGGTTGTAAGCATGGATTTGGCGCAGGAGGGAGCCCTGGCTTTGCATTCGGCCTAAAAGTGGGGCAGGGAACAGGTACTCTACTAAGGGGAATTGTAGCAGGGATTCCCAGAGCCGGGTTCTTGTGTAACTAAATTTGCTATGAGCATAGAACAGATGAGCAGGGTTTACATTGTGAAATATGCATGCAGAACGCTGATAAGATAATTGTTGGGTCCAATGCCTATGAGCTAGCATCTCCATGATCCAGGTGCGGCGCGCGAGCTTTACAATATACTGGCAGCGGCTGATCTTGCAGAGAAGATAGATGTCCTGGACGCTTGGCATGGTGCAGCAAATGTGAGCATTCAGCTTCCAAATTTGCCTGCAAGCATCAGCACAAGGTATGTCTTGACCTGTACTGATGTCGTTCCCCCCAAAAAAGCAACACGTACCCTGAGAAGGACTCTTTCAAAGAAGGGGATTGTTTCTGAGCAAGTCTGTCGAGGGCGTTACCTGGTAGAAAGTCAGTTCCGAGGTGCTCAATGCAGGAGCTGCAATCTCGGGCTCGTTTGTGGAAGCCGACATGGACGCTCTAACGTGCCTGGATGCAAAGGAGGAAAGGTCATGGAAGAAGAACCACAGTCTGCCATTGCACACCCTTCCGCAAACGACTCAGGGCGTCCATGCACCTCAACATGGTGTCTCCCATGCAGCTGGCTAGACTCATCGGCCAGGACATGAAGGCACTGTGCTCTGAGGAGTGCCTAATGGTTCAGGGCTATAGTGGCGGTGAAGGGCAATGTCCTGTTACGTAACTTGTTGCCCAGCGAAGGTGCGAAATCAGCTTGAACCCGTTCACGCTGTCCGGGGCTTCGAGCAGTCACTTGGATGTTTATGAAGGTTGTCCCCAGACTTTGATGCAACTTCCACGCTTTTGAATAGTGGATAGGCCCTTTGAAGAAAAGTCCCGCCTCGAGCAACCCCCCGGGGTATGATAGTGATGGTGATGTACTACAAGAGTACTTGGACAGGCCATGACAGTTCTATGGCGATCTGAAAGCGGTGACATGTGACCTCTCGCTTTCGCCGCGGTCGAGGAATGAGCAGCAGCGGCGGCAGCAGCAGCAGCAAGAACACTACCACCACTACACCAAAACCAACGTCAGCAACAAAGTTGTAAGGTGGCAAACAGGAGGATTTGGAGTTCCTCGGAAGTGCATGCAGTGGCGCGCCTACAAACACACAGCAAAAGCATATTGCGGCAAAGCAGGCGCATGTCTCCCTGGTGCGCAGTAGGGGGAATGTGGGAAAGAATGGGGCATAGGGACCATCAAGGCAAGGATTATGCAGGCTACCAATTCCCTCATGTGATGCTGCGCACCAGGTAGATGAGCCCTTCTGCCCTTTGCCCCAACCCTAACTTCCCTGTGAGCTGGCGAGTCGCGGCAAACGTTAGCGAAAGCTTTGTTCAGTGGGCCCTTCATGCCTGAGTTATTCTGAATGTGATCCACAAGCTGCGATCCTTGACAAATCTTGACAACTAGTAGTGGCTCTGCTTCCGCTTTCGCCATCATCGCACGATATCAGCACGCTGCCGCTGCCGCTGCTGCTGCTGCTTCTTCTTCTTCTTCGTTCGTCGACGTAGCAGGAGAAGAGTATCCTGCGACTTGGGGGCTGTTGCTTCACTCTTGCAGTAGTCAGGGTGTCAGTCAGTGGGATGTTGCAGTACTTAGAATAACTGGTGGATCTGCACACGTCGAGGAAGGGGCACATCGTCGTGGTATCTTCCATCGCATCAGCCTCACCCGGTGTGCCCCACGTGGCCGTATACGCCGCCAGCAAGGCGCGAGTCACTCAAATCTGGTTTGCCTCAGGATGACAGCTTCGACAAGGCCAAAAAATGACCCGACAGGCGTTCTTGACGTCGCTCGGATGTGCACTGCATCAAGAGTGTCCTGGCTTCAGGTCGACTTTTCTGTTGTTTTGTCATCGGTCAAGTTCTGTGATCAATAGTTGCACTCTCGAACACAGACTTCAAAGTTTCCTGATTGTCATGTCATGGTCTTGTTCAATAATCGGGTCCCTTTATACACAGAGGATATTAGCCTGATCCTCATTATTGAAACTTCTCGAAAAGGACACCTTCTCCGGGAGATGTTCAAAAGGGCATACATCCAGCATGGTATTCACTCCAAACAGTTGGACAAGGGCAATCCGCTTAAAATCTCTACATGCACGTGAAACCCCCCATGTTGAGAAGCCCACCTTTGAGCGATTGCAGTGCATGTGAGGCTGGCCTCCGCAGGAGTTTGTGTCACGGCCACTTGGCTTGCACTCTACGAGCAGAATGGAGAACCAAAGGAAAAAGATGACGGGCCAATGTGGTCCCCGCTGACCACAGTAGAGGATCGCCCAAACTTCAATTCAAATGATTTTGGCGCCTTAAGTCGAAGGGTAAGCAAGGTCTCCATGCCTGGTGCGACGGCTACGGAGTTCAGCTCGGTCTTGGGCGACTCAGCTCGGAGCATTGGCGGGAGGTAGGACAAGTGCTGTCGTGGTCCTGCACTTGACCCGCTGGCAAAACAAGTGGCTTGAAGAGCGCCTGAGCTCAAGCTACCATGCGTTACTCCTCGACAGAACCAGGGATCTCGTCCAGGACTAATATACTAAGTCTCCACGTTGTGGTAACTTACTTTTATCAGCTCAGCTTCAGCCACTTTGCATCATCCTAGCATGACTTAAAGATCAACATAGCAACCAGGGAATCGTGTACCTTGAGCTGCACACGCCCAGGTGAGGAGGCTGCCTTGATTTTCAGGCTGGCCGGGCAGCTTGAGGGGGCCCGGATTGTGGAGCAGGGCAACGAAAGTGTAGCATAGCAATATGGCTAGCCATATCAACACCGGCACGGAGCCTACCACGATGGTAATGAATGCTGAGTAGGGTTTGGAGTTTAGGGTTTAGGAGTGAGCGAGGGAATAGGATGGGGCCACTGGCAAGGATTCCCCCGATGGTGAGCCAGAGCCGCCAAGTTGCGCACGAGACGGTTCTGGCCATGCTGCGGCGAGACAGCGCCTTGGGGTTCATCTTTACATGTACGAGGAGTGGATTAAAGTTTAGTAAAGTAAAGGTTGTTCTGGAGTGGCACTTATTCGAAGTCGCGGCTTGCACGATGACTTTTTCGAACCATCATTCCGGGATTGAAGATCAGGTATCTCCATGTTGCCCCGCGATGTGCTCAGAGAACTAAGAATATGGAAGCGCATCAGCCAAGCTGCTGCTCAGGGTTGAGCTATCAGTGAGGTGAGCATATCATCGGCCCCATTAACTGGCTCTACACCGCCGTGGGCCCACTTCTGCCTGATTCCGTGGTGCGCCATGTGGGGGAGCAACTTGCACGCAGTGAATACTTGCATGCAGCGGTTGGTAATCAACTTTGCACACTCCAATCATTCCCAATCGACCTGTCAGCATCCATGAAGCGTTCACTCAGGCTTGCATTTCGGCCACCTTCACATGCACAAGAGCTGTTTGCTCGAGTTGTACAGCTTGCCATGTCGCCGGCAGCCATCACGGCTTAGGGGGTAAGAAGAAAAAAGTCGTGCGTTTGTGCCCAGTCCAGCGCCGCATCAATTTAGAAGAAGGGATCGAGCCCCTTTGCATATGACATCATTCTTCATGAAAGCTGCAACAAGCTGCAGCATCTCTGCCAGCAGGCCTTGCTGGCCGAGACGTCTTCGCCTCGCCAGGACCTTGGCTCTCCAATTTGCGTTGACAAGACATTGTGAGAACTGAAATTTGTCTCCAAGGGGGGTTCCAAACCACAACAAGAATGCAAAATCAACAACAAAGAAATACCTCCCCGACTAATTATACACTTGTACATGTGGCGTGTGCAAGCCTTGGGGGGGTGGGCTGGAGGGTCAAA